AATAATTTGAATAGAATTGTTCAAAATCATGTGCTAAATTAATAATTATATAATTTTATACAATTAAAATTTTAAATATAATCAAAATATACATATATTTATATATTTACGGATCGGATCGGATATCCGCTTTCCAAAATTTTAATATTTGTGATTTGCTTCGATTTTAACGGATATTGAATTTTAGTATTTGCTTTGACTCGAAAGTTTACGGATATCCGGAATTTTCGGATCGAATCGAAACAAATAACAGATCGAATCAAATATAACGGATAAAATGCCCAGCCCTAATACTACATGTTTCTCAGACTAATAAAAATGGCTTGGGGACTTTTCTTCCTTTTACATTATAGAAATGATTATACGAATTAAAGATTTTAACATCTAATGAACTGTACACAGCACACGGATCTTAATATCTATTATTAAGTAATCCGTTATTTGATTTAAGGTTATCCTACATAATGAAAGAAATCATGACATATAAATATACAATACAAAATTAAATGGTTTAACTGCAAAACATTGGAAGCTTAGATCGTCTTCAACCCAACCTCAAATCCTCAAATTTTGAGGTTTTTGTCATTCTAACCAAATTTCGAATCTTCAAATTTTGAGGTTTTGAATAATGACACCTCAAATTTGAAGTTTCACTGTTCAAAACCTCAAAACTACTATTCATTGTCTTTTTAGTCCTTACAATTATTTTCTTTCACAAATACATCTACTAACTTAATTTAGAGTAACTTAAATACACCAAAATAAAATAAAATATAATAAATAATACAAAAAATTAAAAGTAAATTCACACAAATATTAAAATACATTAAATAAAACTCATAGAAAATTTAAAAAACATTAAACATCCTTAACATAAATTAAATCAAATTATATAAATATTTAAATATTACATATCTTACAAGTGGTATTTTATATATATTTAACTTTCTAAATTTTGTCTGTGTGTATGTTATTTTATTATACATGTAATTTATATTATTTTATCATATAATATTGTAATATTGTGTGTTCTATAATATATTAATTGCATGTTTTATATGTATTTGTGAAATATTATCATTATTCATAATTTTTGTTAATATCAAGAACTATAATACAAATAATATAAATTTTTAAGGATTTTTTTGAGATTTTATAGTTGGAGCAATCAACCCTCAAATCCTCATTTTGACGTTTTGTTCCTCTTAAAATGAGGTATTAGGTTAGCGATGCTCTTGGAGCATCATTAACCTAAAACCCCAATGAAAAGTGATTATTATTATTTTTTAACTAAAAAAAAAATAATCATAGGTCATCATGTATTAGTGGAATCTGCGAATAGTGGAAACAATCCACATAATCTGACGCTTATTTGAAAACAACAAACACTGATTTTTGGTTTTAAGAAATCCACCCCACTAATTTATTAAATTTTTGTTAAACTCTCTCCTCCCTGAGTTCTCTCGTTAATTTTGCCCTTATGCTATTTTTCCTAAGGACCGTTTTCCTTTTCGTGTCTAAAAGAAACTCTGTAGAATATTGAAGCCAACAAAAAAATATTTTTTATGTAAATTTTTGAACTCCATAAAATATTTTTTATAAAGAGAAACTCTTTAAAGTATACTTTGAATACGGTAGAATATATGCATTATTATTATTATATAAAGGCAAATAACAATTGACCATAAAATAATTGTGGCTGTGTGTGAGACTGCAAGAATCAAGGCCTTAGGTATGGGGGAGTTGTTTGGTCTAATTTGGCTATTTCAAGATTTTGTGATTTTTGTATTTATGCCTAAAAATGAACATAAAAAGTGTATGGATTGATTCGGCATGGATAAAAGTATGCCGAATATGGAACAATTGTTAAGACCCTGGCGTCGAGACAATTATAAATATAAAAGATTTCTGTTTTTTTTTTTTGTAAAATTTCTGTTTGTTTTTGGTAACTACTTTTATTTCTTCCTTCTTTGGCTTCGTAGTTTTAACTATAAATCCACGAAAAGAGATTATACAATTCTTAAGTTTTTAAACTTACAACGCATTCAAATATAATTAGAAGAAAAAAGTATATTATATATATATGATATAACTGGAAATATTGATGACAATATGTGAAGCTACTTGAATCAAGGCCTTAGGCATGTAGAGAAAAAGTTAATTGATGAGTTGTTGAATTCTGGAATAAGATCCCTTGGATATGAAGTGATATTATAGGCCAACTTGTGGACAACAACTTTTAATATTCGTGTTGTCTTAACTTGAGAGAATCGGTTCCAGTATTGAGTCTATTGACCACTTCTTTGTAACAAAGATAAAGGGTAGAATAAATTAAGAATATTTCATCTTCTCAAAGGAGAGAAATTTACCATTGCAAATAAAAATAAAAAGCAATTGTGGTTTAGTCTCGAGCTCTTCAATAACATTTCCATCGTCATGGAAATGCTAGAAAGTTCACATCGAAAGAGAAAACAAACTGGAACTAGATAGAAGAAACATTTAAAAAAGAAAAATTTATCGTAGATAGATATATAGGTTCTAGTTCAAATTCATAGAACCCAATAAACTCAAAAATGATAACTGATTCTAAAAATATTGATATTCGATCTGAAATAAATGAGTAAATAAATTGGGTTAAGCGGAAGATCATGTTGGGGTTCTATGGTTACCTGGACTTTTACGCAGCCCAGGCCTGTTAGAGTCGATCCTCATGTTCTATCATGATCGTTTAATTTCTTTCATAGATCAGTACTTCTCATGCATACAAGATTAAAACAATGATGTTATTTTTTTTTACTTTGGATTCTATTTTGTTTTCACCAACACAGCAAAAAAAAAAAATTTAACAAAACATTATAGTTGTATGTTGTTTTTTACTGACATAGTTTTATAGTTGTATGTATTTTTTTACTGACATACTTTTATGTATTATTCATGTAAAAGTGGAAAATGGTAAAACAAAAGACATAAAAGTATATTAGTCCTCCATAATTCACTTTTTTTGTTATTCATGTAAAATTGGAACAGTGTTCCCTTTTGTCTCATTTTTTCATTTACAGTACAGTTGTAATGTACCATTCCAATCTCTTTCTCCATTATTGGTTTTGGTAAAGAATCTCAAGATGTATATTTTAGTATGAGCTTTTGCTATCTAGGAGTGGACTTAGCCGATAGTGAGGTGACATTGGGGATTAAGTCATTAGACTAATACACACTCACGTCTTCTGTTGATTTTCAAAAGCATTCCGACTTTCAACTAAAACATTTCCTAACAAAAGAGGCTTTAACACCTTATATTCTGCGTGAAAAGTAATAATGTATAAGAGAGCTTATGAAAATTGAAAAGAGTGACCTAAAAGTTAACGCCAGTCCCTTGAAAGTGCTAGGATATCATGATTAGCCCCTTGCTTGCTAAAAGAATTGTACAGTACAATAAAAAAGTAGAATCTAGATAAACCAAGTTTTGCGAGTACTGCACTCCCTTGCATTACCAATTTATATTAATAATAATAAAATCAACTCCTTAGTCATTATTTAGTCAATTTATATGAATAATAATAAAATCAACTCCTTAGTCATTATTTAGTCTAAACAAATAGACATGATGTCAAGAAAAAATACGAAATATTACCCTAATGATTCGTATGAACAGGTTACTCAACTCATTAATAAAATCAACCACCACCAAGGTATTACCCATTATTTAGTCTAAACTGAACCTTTGCTTATCCAGCTTATATAGTCATATAAGAGAAAACAGAAATCATATAGTTATTATCTCAGTTAAGTCAATTTAACACGCCTCTTTTCTTGCTGGTCCTTTTGAGGTTGAGTAACCTGTTCATACGAATCATTCTATCACAGAGTAGGAACTTGGCGTTTGAGCATATGATAAGCTAGATATGACCAAGTCACTATATGATAAAATATAGTTAGAACTTTTAAAACATTAGTAGCTTTGAACATTATAACGTAACTTTTAAAGCATGTAAACATTTTTTATCAAATACAAATAGACATGATGTCAAGAAAAAATATTTATTTTTTACGTATAATTGTATTTTTTTTTAAATATATCAGTAACATGTTTGGCTAAGTACTTTGTCACAAACATGTGCTTTTAATACTCCACCAAGTTTACACGATCCATTCTAACTGAATTTCAAAACAAATTCACAACTCCTCATACACAACCGATTTCAAACACAGTCCATCAACTATTCATTAAATAAATTCGATGTGATATAGTCTCTATAGTATCCTTTCATAAACTAGAAAAAAAGTTCAGAAAGAGGTAGTTGAAAAAGGGCTACAAAATAGTTTATACTTTTTATAAATAAATAAAAAACGTGTAAAATATTTAAATAGGAACTTTAAAACTCTTCCTATGTTTCCAGTATAAAAGTGCTGTAAAGGGACGTATTTCTCGTATAACTATAATACCCAAAATATCTTTCTCTCACTGACAAGCTTCCGTCATTACATAGTATAGAGACTGACACTACATAAAATTACACTTTCGCCACTCCTCAGGTGAAGATAATGATCACATGGCACGACCTCTACACAGTTCTCACTGCGGTAATCCCACTATACGTCGCTATGATCCTCGCTTACGGCTCCGTCCGTTGGTGGAAACTCTTCTCACCGGACCAATGCTCGGGAATAAACCGCTTCGTCGAGATATTCGCCGTCCCTCTCCTCACCTTCCACTTCATCTCCACCAACAACCCTTACACCATGAATCTTCGTTTCATCGCCGCCGACACTCTCCAGAAACTAATCATCCTCACTCTCCTAACCCTATGGGCTAACTTCACCCGCTCAGGTAGTCTCGAGTGGAGCATCACTCTCTTCTCCCTCTCCACGCTCCCCAACACGCTCGTCATGGGAATCCCTCTGTTGAACGCCATGTACGGAGATTACTACTCCGACTCGCTGATGGTCCAGGTGGTCGTTCTCCAGTGTATAATATGGCACACGGTTCTCCTCTTCTTATTTGAGTACAGAGGAGCTAAGAATCTGATAATGGAGCAGTTTCCTGAGACGGCTGCTTGTATTGTGTCTTTCGACGTAAAATCCGACGTCGTTTCGTTGGATGGGAATAACGTACTTGAAACTGACGCTGAGATACGAGGGGATGGGAAGTTACACGTCACGGTGAGGAAATCAAACGCTTCGAGGAGATCTTTATGCTCTTCAAGTATGACTCCACGTCCTTCTAATATCAGCGGAGCTGAGATTTATAGCCTTAACACGACTCCAAGAGGTTCCAACTTTAATCACTCGGACTTCTATTCATTGAACTTTGGTCAGTCTTCGTCTAGGGGACAAACTCCTAGGCCTTCAAATTTCGAGGAGAGTTGTTGTATGGCTTCGTCGTCTGGGTTCGGGTATTACCCGGGTACTTCCGGGTCATACCCAACCCAGAATACGGAGTTTTCCTCCTCAGTCACCAAAAAACATCATATGGGAGGCAAATCTAGTAGTCATGAAGCTAAGGGGCTCCATATGCTCGTCTTGGGCTCCAACGGGTCACCCGTTTTGGATAGAGCTAATGAACAAGCCGGAGGATCCGACCAGGGAGCAAAAGAGATTCGAATGATAGTCCCGGATCCTCCTCAAAACGTAGAAACTAAAGGTTATTTTTTAATTCTTATATAAATTTTTATAAAATTAAACTCTCTCAAACAAATTTGCTTATAAAATGACAGCTACTGGTCCGAGGAATGTAGACAGTAGCGGGGAAGGTGAATCCGAGAGAGTGAAGGAAGTGCCAAGCGGACTACACAAGCGTTGGTGTAACTCCACGGGTGAGCTAAACCCTAATGAAGCGGTGGAAACTGGACCGGGACAACATATGCCCCCGGCGAGTGTGATGACTAGGTTGATACTGATGATGGTGTGGAGGAAACTTATCAGGAACCCAAACACTTACTCCACTCTCACTGGTCTCATATGGGCTCTCGTTGCTTTCCGGTAACTAACCAAAAATGAAGCAATACTTAACTATCAGTATTATTATGGGATCTTAAACGGGTTTGTGATGATTGTATAATGATGAAATATGTAAGCTGGAATGTGGCAATGCCTAAAATCATTCAGCAATCAATCTCAATCCTCTCTGATGCTGGTCTTGGTATGGCAATGTTCAGTTTGGGTGAGTCCCATCTTCTTCATTCTGTTTCTTTTTTTTCTTTTTCTTTTTAATTATGCCAATCCACAGTCACAAACGAATTAATCGTACGGAAGATTTTGCATTTTTTTTGGGTGGTAGTCAAAAATGGTGTGGTATTTTTTGTTTTTTTGGGGTGGCTCGTTATGGGATGGACCATCCAATAATGTATGGCCAACGACGAGACGTCAACCGTGTTATATAAATGGTGGTTGTGTAAGGGCCATAGCTCGTGTTATTGATTGTTGTCGTGGTCCCCAATACTAACTGGAACTAGAGTTTACATTTACATGTATGCCATCATCATTTATTGGACTTACATCGCATTTAAATGATGTGTCCTATCATAATTTATTGGATTACATTGCTTTTACATGATATATCCTATGATCAGTTATTGTGTTTGAATGAAAATTAATTAATTGGTTGCACAAATTGTCTAGGGTTGTTCATGGCGTTACAACCTAAATTAATCCCTTGTGGAAATTCTATGGCAACTTTTGCAATGGCGGTGAGGTTCTTGACAGGACCAGCTGTAATGGCTGTTTCTTCCATGGCTATTGGATTACGCGGAGATCTATTACGTGTGGCCATAGTTCAAGTAAATATATTTGAAATAATATTTGCTAATTTCTTAATAATAAACCACTAAACGAGTTTTTGTGGTACCGCTTTTGTAGGCTGCATTGCCTCAAGGAATCATGCCATTTGTGTTTGCAAAAGAATACAATGTTCATCCGGCAATCTTAAGTACAGGGTTAGTATTTTATTTTGGATAAAGAGGAACTTTTCATGGGTATTTTTCTTAATGAAGATATTGCAGGGCAATATTTGGAATGCTTGTTGCACTACCGATCACACTTCTTTACCACATTCTACTTGGGCTATAAGCTCTCTAATGGAGAGGTTTTGCTTCAGAAAGAAAAAAGAGAATTCTGAATTTCCAAATTTATTTGAATAAAACTAGAGAATGTAACACGAGGTTTAGTAAAGTTAGTGACAAAGATTTGATTTGAGGATCCAAAAGCCCTTTCATTTTCAATGTTTTCCTAGAGCTTACAAGAGGATTATAAGTGGATGACAATGATAAAGACAAGAAGAGCAAAACAAGGGCAACAAGAAAAAACCAACCAACAAAATAAAAAGCCTCAGACGATATAATATGATTTTGCATTTTTCCTTTTTACAAGAGTAGTTATTGAGCTAGTGTTGAAACGTTTCAGTTCGTTTGTTATTGAGTGTTTTAGTTTTCGCAGAAAGTGTGTTTTTGTATGTTATCATTTTTCATGTTTTGGTCATTGTTCCTAAAGAATACTATTTGAACTACCATAATCGGTTGTACTTACTTAACATTTTCGATTGACATGTGTTTTGACACATGACCGCTTAGACAGCGATAGTTCGGCAGCCTACAGCCACTACAAATAGTATCGGAGGGAAAAACAAATCAACCACTGAACCTTCATATGAGAATCAACGTTTTGCCACTCGAGTCACTTCAGATTGTTACTAATTTTTGGAGTTTACGACCATCACGGTATATTAATGTATTCCCTTCGTTTGATAAAGATACATGTTATTTTATGATTTTTTTCGATATGATATGTTTGGCTAAAAATGATAAATTATAATTGAAAAATAATTGCATTTATTATATCTATTGGTTCAAAGTTACAGAAAATAGACAGCCATTGAAAATAATGTATTTATAATTAAAATCAAATATATAATTTTTAATGTGTATAAATCTTAAAACATACATTTAATAAAAGACAGAATATTAATTAGGCAGAGTCTCAAACAACTACACATTATTATGCGGTGAAGAAAAGGGCCAACACACTGTCTTTACCCTATGGAAACATATTTTTCTTTAATCCTGTCGATTAGTAATAATATCCTGTGAGGAGAGAAAAATTATACGCCCTTCATTTCAATTTAGTTCTCGTGTAAAATAAAATTTTCATTTCAAATTAAATGTTGTTTTGTTATTTTAATAAAAATATTAATTTATATTAGTTAAAAATGTGTACATAATTAATGATGTTTTTATTCAGAAAATATATAAATATAAATATTTTTTTAATTTATATATACAAACCTAAAATGAAACGGAGGTAGTATGTGTTATATTCTTGCATTCTGATCCATCTGAATTTTGTATTCAACTTTTGTAAGACAATCCATATATTTAGGTTGAAATAGAAACATATAATGATAGGGAAACATATGAAAAATAATTGGCTCAGTACTGTATATAGATTCTGAATATCGTTGCGTGTGAATGATCGTTGAGTTCCGAATAACATGCGAATTTATATATGTATTGAATTAGATGTCGGAGTAGAAGGGGAATATACTCAACGCTCATCTTTTCGTTCCAGATAATAAAGTTTATCTCGTGGTGGTGTACCACAATAATAATCGTAGCACCAGTATAGATCACTTTATACTTTCAATTTGGAAAAAGGAGAAAAGTACTTTTAGGAAAAATGAAGAAAAGAAAGATAATTGACAGGTGATGTCTGTCGACAACACTTCCTAAAACTCGAACGTACGATTGCCTCTATTCTTAAACTCTCACCGAACTTTCTCTATGTTCTGAAGACATCGGTTTAATGTTCCATTTCCAAACGAGTGGTGCTTAGAATAGGTCATGTAATAGTGCTAAGAAAATGGAGCATGCCTCACATCAGAAACTGATCTCCCGGTTTCATGATGTATTATTATTGTTCATCTAATTTTGCAACCAACATTATCTTTGACTATAACTTCCCTCAAATTTCGTCCACATATACTTATTCAATACGTATGATACATCGATACTAATCTTCAAAAGCTATTGGGTTTGATCCTATCATGGATTTTGAACCTTATAATTTGTTCGAGCCTAAACTTCAATCTATATATGTATATATGCCCTTCAGACTCTCAAACTGGAAACTAAAAAAGAAAATCGTATTTGGGCTGTTCTTTTCCATAATGTTTTGGGCTATACAACATGACCACTTCTGCTTTCTATATAGAGTGGGCCTACTACACTCCTTATATCGACCCAAATTTGGTTATTGATGATACATATTTCATTTTTATCGTCTATTAACAAAATTTTCTAGTTGCACGCAACCATATCAATTTTCCAGAAGAAGATAAATATAATCAGATTGTGATGATCCCTATGAATATGCTGAATTAGAAAAAAAAAAAAAAACATTAGCATACCCCCAATGCTTTCCTTGACCAGTAAGTAATATCCACCCTACAATTTTATTTTTGGTCGCTAATGTTTCAAAACCGACTTAAAAAAAAAAAAAAAAAGGATGAAGTATCGCACAAGCCAGGACTTCATTTTAACGATCGAACACAAACAAACAAAACCCTAACTTTAACTTAACTTAACACCGTTAAATCCCAAATTTTTCACGGCGTGATGAAGAGAATCGTGAGGATATCATTCACCGACGCGGAAGCCACCGATTCCTCCAGCAGCGAAGACGACCAAGCACAGAGAATCACCGGACGCAGAGGGAAGAGGTTCGTCAACGAGATCGTCATCGACCCGTCGGATTCCTCTAACAATAATAATCGCGATCACGGCAAGACGCGGTTCAAGATCAAGATTGATAAGAAGAAGAAGTTTCGAGGGGTGAGGCAGAGACCGTGGGGGAAATGGGCGGCGGAGATCAGGTGTGGTAAGGCGCACGGTGGAAATCGTGAAGGAGGAAGAAGGGCTCCTGTTAGGATCTGGCTTGGGACGTTTGATACGGCGGAGGAAGCTGCTTTGGCGTATGATGAGGCCGCGGTTAAGCTTATTGGGCCTGAGGCGGTTACTAATTTCGGTTGTTGTTCTGAGGTAGTTAAGGGAAGTGGTCCCGATGCTGCTGCTGCTGCTCCTGGCACCTCCGATGATGATGATGATGCTTGATTCTCTTTTTTTTTACTTTTTTTACTTTGAAAGTTGTCTTTGTGAATAATAAAGTCATAACAAATGTGCAGTTTCTGATTTTCTTATTACAGATTCTTGTTTGTTTAATGTAACTGTACATTGTGATCTGTTTTTTTTTTTGTGTGTTTCTTTATTGTGCAGATTTGGAATTAACTATTGTTTGAAATTTCATGTTTTTTTATGAATTTTGATTTTAGAAGTTTTTTTATTTTGAACTAGGTGTTTACCCGCACATATATATGGACTTAATTATATTTAATTCAATTTTAAAAATCATCAAAATAAATGATTATTTACATCCAAATAATTCGACCTAAAACATTCTTGTTTTTTACATTGATAAAATTATTCACAAATTAAAAACAAATCTATGTTTTCTTTTAAAATTTTGAAAAATCTAAAGTCTCTTTCATTTCTTCTTAATTGATAAAAATATAGAAATGTATCTTTCAATTTGAAAAATTGAATCAATAAATATACATTCAAAAATTAATCTTACAGAAAGAATAAAATTAGTTTGGATAATAATACAATATATTTGAATTTATTTTTGTCAAACACGTATTTTTTTTAATGTTCTTATTTTATATGATTAATTCATGTTTAAGGTTTAACTATATAAAATATAAACATAAATTTAATTTAACGTGTGAGTTCAGCGGCGATAAATAACTTCACGAATATATATCATTGTATTATATTATTATTTTTAATTTGAAAATAATTATGTATTATACTTTTTTCAATTTTCTCTTTTGAATAATATACAATTAAAAATTTGACATTATGAATATTTATTTATGTGTTTTATGTTTTTGAATTTTTTATCAAAAATATATTTTCCGGATAACAACACACAATATATAAAAACTATATTTTTATTTTATTTTAAAATATATATTTAGATTATGGATAATTCTTATCATTATTATTAATTTAAATCTTTTATCTAATCAAATAAGTATTAAATTCGTTTTTATTTTTAGCTGATTTATATATTTTATTTATTAAGGGTATAAACGATATTAACCACTCTAATTTTTAACGTGAGAGCTCCGTTGTGAAAAATCATTTTGTACTAGGTGTTTTGCCCGCACATGCGGGCTTAATTATCTTTAAATCAATTTAAAAAATATCAAAGTAAATGATTATTTGCATCAAAAAAGTCGATCTTACAGAAAAAATAATATTAGTTTGGATAACAATACAATATATTTGAATTAATTTTTATCAAACACATATTTTCTTTCTTTTTGAATGAACTTTTATTTTATATGATTAATTCATGTTTAAGGTTTAACTATATAAATTATAAATATAAATTTAATTTAATGTGTGTGTTCAGAGGTGAAAAATAACTTCACAAATATCTATCATTATATTATATTATTATATTCTTTTAATAAAAAATTACGTATTACATTTTTCAATTTTCTCTTTTGAATTATATGCAATTGAAGATTTTATTTTATAAATATTTATTTATGTATTTTCTGTTTTTGATTTTTTTTTTTTTTAAAAAATTCGGATAACAACACAATATATATAGGAATTATATTTTTTTTTTAAATAATTACATTTTATAATTTTTCAATTTTCTCTTTTGAATTATATACAATGAAATTTTTTATTTTATAAATATTTATTTATGTGTTTTCTGATTTTGAGTTTTTTTATTAAAAATATGTTTTCCGGATAACAACACAATATATATAGGAATTATCTTTTTATTTTTAAATATATATTTAGATTATGGATAATTCTTATTATTATTATCAGTTTAAATCATTTATCTAGTCAAATAAATATTAAATTCGTTTTTATTTTTGGATGATTTATATATATTATTCATTAAAGGTATAAACGATATTAACCACTTCAACTTTTAACGTGAGAGCTCCGTTGCGAAAAATCACTTCGCAAATAAATATGTTTTTCGGATAACAACACAATATATATAGGAATTATCTTTTTATTTTTAAATATATATTTAGAGCATGGATAATTTTTCTTATTATTATCAGTTTAAATCATTTATCTAGTCAAATAAATATTAAATTCGTTTTTATTTTTGGCTGATTTATATATATTATTTATTAAGGGTATAAACGATATTAACCACTCCAACTTTTAACGTGAGAGCTCCGTTGCGAAAAATCACTTCGCAAATAAATATGTTTTCCGGATAACAACACAATATTTATAGGAATTATCTTTTATTTTTAAATATATATTTAGAGTATGGATAATTCTTATTATTATTATTATTATCAGTTTAAATCATTTATCTAATCAAATAAATATTAAATTCGTTTTTATTTTTGGCTGATTTATATATATTATTCATTAAGGGTATAAACGATATTAACCACTCCAACTTTTAACGTGAGAGTCCGTCAAAATTATAAAATTACTTCATTTAAAAAAAGTAGAATATTACATCCGAGATTTTCTAGCTTTTTGTCAAGTTTATATCATTTTGTACAAATGCTATTTTATCTATTTGGGGCAAAGGACAAGAATTGAAAGATAAATGAGTACAATATCAAAAAACATTATACAGGGTTTATTGGTATTTTTGGAATTTATGTCTGCTTCTTATCAACAGAAAATTTAAGTTTATATATGATTTTTCCTTCTTTAGATAACTTTTAAATTTGGATTTTACAGTTACATCTTACATTTACATATTTTTTTTGGTTAATCAATCAGTAAATCATGTGGGACTGTTGCTAATATTTTCATATATTTTTTTTTGTAATTTAGGCCCTCTGCTGAGTTCAAAATTTTGCAATTGAAAATCTAAAAATTAGGGCTCTAGTTGCATGTAATATATGTGTGTTTTGATAATCTAGTACCTTAATTATTTTAAGAAAATTGGAAAAAAAAAAGAATGCAACTTGTACATGTACACTTTGAGCACTTATTCAAAGCCGGTATAAGAAGATCTCTACAACTATTGGACAAACCAAATCCCTGGCTAACTAATAGCTTCATAAAACATAGACATACACTCTCAGGACAACAATTAAAGGAGAACTAACTCTAAGCAAAAACTCAATCAATAGTTAAAACATACATTTTTACCTATCAAGAGAAAGTAAAATCCAAACAAGAGAATATAAGCCTACATAAAGATAGATTATGAGTAGAAACACATCAAAACTCATCTATTAAACAAAAAACAGATAATTTTTTGGAAATTAATTAGAAACATCATTTTTTTCTCTCTCAAATTCACCATTATATCTACGTGTCACTAAAATTTTATTTCTTAACATTGCGACGGTTGGTGAAACCTAATCTTTTATTCCGTTTTTCTCCTTAGACGCTCCATCTTTATCCGCCGCATCCCTAAAATCTTACTTTTCCACTAATCTCATTTTCCTAGATTACATTCTAAACCCATTTATATTCTTTAAAATCCTCATTTGAGTTTTTTTTTACCATTATATATGTTCTTTACCTTCACATAATTTTTTTCTTCCTATACAACTGTGAAACCCTAACCCCCAAAACAAACCATCATCCCCTCTTTTTCAAAAAAAACGGTAAAACCCTAGAAAAATGACCTCCCCCTCTGACATGAATTCCAATTTAAATCGGTTTAGATCCATAGCCCTCGGCTCTTCATCCAAACAATCCGATCCTCAGCAGCAGCAGCAGCAGCAACCCCAAGAAACCCTAAAATTGAAACTCCGGAGAACACCCAAGGAAGAGCACGAGCCAGAGCACTATGAGGATCTACAGCTCGACTTTAACCCTTCTCTCTTCAGGTCTCTCGAGCGGTTCTTGCCCGAGAATCTCCTCAGTTCCACACGCACCGAGAAGGTCCGTGCCATGAGTGACCTTCTCCTCCGTTACTCACCTGAAACTGAACGAATTCGGGTACAAAAGTTTCGACCTTTTTTTTTATTTTTCTCGCTCTGTTTTTTTTTTTTTTTTTTTTTGAAATTTAGTTAATTTTTGGGACAGGTTCAGAAGCATAGAGAGTACAGACAGAACATATTGTCTTCTTACCAGGTAAATGCCCCTTTTCTTACTCAAATCTTGTCTCAATTGAATTTTAACATTTTACCAAAAAAATAAAGAAAAAATTATTGTCTCATTGAATCTTTTTTTTTTTTTTAATGGCAGCGTCTACATGGAGAGCTCTATACTCTGGACCCAGCTAGCTTCTTTGTGCCTTCGTTTCTTGACGCTGTTAGTAAGAGATCGGAGGAGAGTTTCAAAAGCATAATTGTTCGTGTAGCTCCTGGGATCTACACTTTTGATATGTTTAAGCCACAGTTTTGCCAAATGTTTATAGCAGAGGTTTATATGAACTTTTGAGATTCAAAGTTTTAGTCTTTATATGTGTGTTGTTGTCTTCTCTGTCTGATAATTTTGCAAAAAAAACTTTATATTGCTCAGGTTGAAAATATGGAGAAATGGTTCCATTATTCAAAATCCTCAATGATGAGACCAACTACAATAAACAGATTTGGTGTTGTTCTAGATGACTTTGGGCTTGGCAGCATGCTCCAGAAGTTGCTTGAGGACTTCATTAGCCCTATATCTCAATGTTTGCTGCTATATTTTTTTTGAGATTGTTTGCCAAAAAAATTTATTAGCTGTATGTGTGTGTGCTCATGGGTTTTGTGTTTTTTTGTTGTTGTTATGTCAGTTTTGTTCCCGGAAGTCTGTGGAACCGGTTTAGATTCTCACCATGGCTATGCTATTGAGTATGGAAAGTATAGGGATACTGATGTTGGTAAGTAGTACTTGGGAAGCTCTCTGGTTTGATTTTGGAGTGGTGAGAATATCTAAAAAACCTTGATTTTCTTGATTTTTAGGGTTCCATGTGGATGATTCAGAGGTTACTTTGAACGTCTGTTTGGGTAATCAGTTTACTGGTGCGGAGCTCTACTTTCGAGGTGTGAGATGTGATAACCATGTGACTTCTGAAATCAAGGTACTTACAGTTGTTGTGCCATTTATTAGCTGATCACTAAGTAAGATTGATGCTTAGTTATTTCTCCTGTAGGAAAATTATGACTACTCACAGGTATCTGGTCAAGCCGTTCTTCATCATGGACGTCACCGTCATGGTGCTAGAGCTATAACTTCTGGACGCCTAGTGAACTTGATTATGTGGTGTAGAAGGTAAGACAAAAAAAAAGGCTTTCAAAAATGCTAAAACATCAAATGTTTGTTGAACCATTTCAAAAGTGGTAAAGTTTGTTCATGGGGAATTTTTCACTATCTCCCCTTTGTCTTTTCTCTCATTGTATATAGCTCAACTTTTCGAGAGGCGAAGAGATATCAGAAAGATTTCTCAAGCTGGTGCGGAGGGTGCAAAGTTGAAAAACACTATAGGCAGCAAGCAGCAATTAAGGCTACTGTAGAGGTTATATATATGTCAATGCTGCAAGCAATTGTTTTTACTTTGTTTTACTCATGTAGTTTTTTGGCAGGCGTTGAAGAGGAGAGGTGCAGAAAGATAAAAGGAGAATCTATCTTCTTTGTATTATTTTCAGTGGCCTATTGTATGTAGAGGCAGTTAAAGTACCCTCTGTTTTAGTATTTTGTTACATTTTTCTTGGAGAGATGCAAAAAAGTCAATAAAGATAAGCTAAGAGATTCACAGGATTGCGTAACCGTAAGAACTTAGATGTAAAACACCTTTTTGCTCTCTTTAAGCGTTTTAATCCAAACTTCTTAGCTTGAGTCAAACACACACTCTTGGTCGATCAAAACTGATACAAACAACAGCAACGCCTTTAAGAGTTGGTGGCATCTATCTGCGTAACAGACTCAGCATTCTATGGCAACCACTGGTAATTTTGAGGCCTTAACACACTTCTTTGAGCCTATCAAGTCAGTTACACTCGTCTTTAACTTGGATACAGTTTATTATTTACTTCCGTAAATAAATTTACTAATTATAAAGAAAAATCTGAAAATTTGAATATCTATATATATAAAAGAAAGTTTTCTCACTCAAGGGTTAGCCACGTCAGAAAATACTACAAAGAAAACGCGACACCTGTCACCTTCACTTTAAAATTTCACGGAAGCTTATAACATCTAATGGGCTCAAACAGAAAAGTTTAGGCCCGTCAAAAACTGGCTCTGAAGCATCCCTCTTCCACGAAATGTCGCCGTTCTTCTAGGGTTCGTTGTATGCTCGAACCTCCAATTAATTTCAGAAACAATGGTGTTTCTGATGTCAGCCGAATCGTCCTGAAGAAACCCTTTGTGAAGTTTTGATTTCGTGAGGCGTTACGAGATGTCTTGATTCATCGTCTTAAAGAAACTCTACCTCCGTCGAATTCAATGATATGTATCCCTTTCCAAGGCGGTGTTTTTCATCTATAAAAAAGGTGAACCTCCATATTTTGAACATCATCTTCAATTTTCTAATAGCAAAACAAATTTCTTTCTCAATATAATGGCTAATCCATCTTTGATATGTGTAAAGACGTCGTCGTCGTGAAGCCAACAGTGTACAGAGCATGATCCAACGCAAGAGACGATGGACACCATTAGAAGCGATGTGACGGAACAACTGAGGCTGAACGAGACTTAATATATGATTCTGAAGTTCGGAAGAAGGTGACCCGTAAGATCATTGGGATACATGAATATTCGACTCAGTCTCAGAGGCAATAGAAGCCATTAGAAGCGAAGAGAAAGAACAGGTGAGGATGAATCAGACTCTGATGTCTCTACTTTTGAGACTTGACTCGGGACAAGAATTAATGATGGCCTAACTACGATGTCAGAGAAGGTGGTGCGTGGCCTATGTACTGGGAAAAGCGGTGGAAGAATAAATGTGTAGAGAGAGAGAGAGAGGAGCGGCAATGAGATGTGGATTATATGCTATTTGGGTTTCAGATGTTTCCATAGATTTTCAGAGACCACGACGGCAATTACACGTTGTACGCTAAGTCAACGTGAAGCAGTCACCAGGAGCCGAAGTTTTTGAGACAGGAGAGAGATGAGGTTGTTCGATCCATGGCCAGTGTTCTTCAAGAGGGAATGGAAACATTGTTGGCCGTTTCTCACTGGTTTCGCCGTAACCGTCAACCTCACCGCTGGATTCATTGAAGAAGACGCCAAGAACTCCAAGTTCGTCCAACAGCACAGGCGATAATCTACTGATGTGAAATGTAGATGCTGATACTATTGCGCCAGTCCGCCTTCGATCATATTCTAATAACATCAAAACAGAGTTCTTCTCTATTTTCCTTTCATCTTTTGTTCCTTTCACAACCCTCGAAACAGTGATCAATCTTTGAATAAGCTTTATGGTTGTGAACGATCAAACTCACAAACAAGCTTTTTCGTTCATAGCTATACATTCCTGATTTACTCTAAAATCTTTGTGCCATGTGTTGGAAGAAATTGAAAAAAAAAGTGTTTCATTAAATGTACAAACGTCGTTTGTTAAGTATGTAAAGGAACTACGTGTCGTCTTACCCTCATCAAAATGTTACGTCGTATTTTGTACATCGAGGGACCGTGAACCTTATTACTACACGTACGCAGTTCGCTGGCCAAAAGAAAACTGTGTAACTAATGCATAAATGTTTTCTTTGTCAATGCATAAATGGTTTAGTAATATTGTTTTAAAATAAATTAATGGTATAACTAATTAAATTTAAGATCTTTCACATTAGTAATGTATATATATTATGATTTTAGCGTCTCATAAGAATGGAGAAGTAATAATACGACATATACTGATAGTAACAATATATATCAAACTAGCATTATTGTTTTACAATGAAAATAATAAATCTGAATGGTGACCGAATTAATGAACGGAAATAGTCAATTTTTCTATATTTTTTTATGTTTGATATCATTAATAAGAAATATTGGTTCCCAACATTCTTTATCATTCATTTTAATTTAAGAAAATATATTTTCAAACAATTAAAATAACTTTAAAAACAAGTTCAAAAAAAAAAAGACAATCTAAATCTAACTATCTATATATAAAAAAAAATCTCCTCATTTTTAAAAGAGCTATGTCATCAAATAAGATAAGGAGAATTTGATATGATTTTGCTACGTTTATTTAGAATATAAATGAGCTCACATTTTTAATGGCCCTACACTGATATTCATTTATTCATTACTACAAAAATAAAGTTATCCACAAAAACATCTCAGCTCTAAAAATCATTCATCGCTTCACCTTCGTAGTTCGTCTTTCATAGCCACGGCCACCAAAAACTGTTCTTCAACTCTCATCACTGTATATCATCAAATCTCTTATTTACTACAATAATCATGAACGACATAACTTTTTAGATTCCTCTATAAATTTTACATAAACTCCTACTTAACTATCTTCCCCTCAAATTCACCAAAAACATACAAGTACAACACAAACAAATAACCTGGTTGTATCACAGTGATATTAATATGGATGCTCCATCCAAATGCTGAAATAAATTTTCAGTCAGTTTCTTTGAAGCATTATGAAGTTGTTAAGTCAATTCGTTTTCGTTTTTATTTGAAATAAATAAATATTGTTTTTTATTCAGACTCGATTATAACTTTGGTTCAATCTGAAGGTGTGTTTTGAAACAAATTCGATGGTACAGTCAATCAAGTTCTTGACTTTGCCAATAATGTTTGGTAACAAACCATTCAACCAATAATGTGAATGTATGATATATCAACGAAAAATTAATGAAAACATAAATAAATAACACATATGGTCTCAATCGATAAACGAAGAAACATGGTAAATTAATAAGTTTCTTCAGTTCTTAATTAGTTAGATAAATATAATATCATTTAATGAGTAATAAAGTAACATTTAAAATTTTGTGTAAATATAGTTTTATTAAATCATAAAAGAAAAGAATACATATAAATTTTATATAAACAGAAACAAAGCAATTTTTTATTTTACTATAATATCATTTTGATCTCTAATTTTTATTTACATTTCAATATTTTATGTTATTTTATTGGACTATGAATAAAAATTTGTGTTCTANAGTAATAAAGTAACATTTAAAATTTTGTGTAAATATAGTTTTATTAAATCATAAAAGAAAAGAATACATATAAATTTTATATAAACAGAAACAAAGCAATTTTTTATTTTACTATAATATCATTTTGATCTCTAATTTTTATTTACATTTCAATATTTTATGTTATTTTATTGGACTATGAATAAAAATTTGTGTTCTATCATATGGATCTAACACACACAAAATATATCAAATAAAAATAACTGAAATTCAAATTTATTAAATTCAACTAATATATAATATTGTGAATAAAATATTTTTAATCCTTTTAAATAATAACAATCTTTAAAAATAAACTAAAATAAAAATTGTATACTATTAATTTAAAGAATATAAATTATCATAATCTAAACTTTATTGTAATTTTCGAACACACTTACAAAAAAATGTCAATTATATTCTAACACAAAATATCAAAATCCGCGCGTAGCGCGGGATTCTCCTAGTTTATAAATAAAATATAGCAAATCAGAGAGTAAAATTTAAAAGAAAAAAAAGAAGATTAAATTGTTTTTTTTTTTAGTTAATTCTATTATTGCGAAAACAGTTTTACTTTAGTTTATGAAAGACAAGTCTCTGACTACACTATTATGAACCCGTTCTATGAGATTTTAGTCAAATTGGGTCTCTAAAAAAGAAATATTTATATAGTTTTGTCTCATAAACATTATTTCACAAAGCCCATTCTTATATAATAGAGCCCAAATCTTTCCTTACAACATCCTGACCGTAGAACCACCTGATTCATCTCAGCGACTCAGCCCTAGCTAGCTCTCCTCGCACGATCGAGATCGTGGGTCTTATATTATGCAGGGGAAAACCGGCGGTGATACCATCATCGTTATGGACGCTTTTCGACTTTGCCTGTTGAAGGAACCGAGACTAAGGTTAATGCGTATGATTATAATATATATGGTTGAGTACTCTCAGATACTGTCTGAAATACTGAACCATGAACTTGCATCCGCGCTTCATACTGAGACACTAGACCAAGAGGAGCCTCTATTCGCTAAAATGATGGCATTTGATCCGTTTTAGTTCATGAATACATTAAATTCACTTCTCGAGTCTTTTTACTCATCCGTCAAAATGTGCAGGTTATCAATGGCATCTTGTTCAATCAATCTGACAAAACTCCCAGCCGATGGTTATCAATGATCCATAACTCAAAATACTAAATCAAACAAAAAAAATAATGAATGTAGTTTCTTCAGAGATTTTCCAAAATATTTATAACTAGGTGATTTTTCCGTGCTCAAGCACGGGTATAAATATATATTCATAAAAGTAAAATTTTATAATAATTGATTGATATTTAGTTTTAGTTTTGTATCAATTTATATGTATAATTTATATTAATAAATATTATATTATTCTAATTATACATATGACTTTGGATATATTATTGTCGGTTTAATTATTTTTTGGATCAATAGTCGATTTGGTTATCAATTTGGTATATTGGATAATATTTATTTTTCGAATTCAGCTATAATATTTTTATTGTAAATATAATAAAACTTTGATTAATTTTCTTATTTTCATTTCGGTTGGTTATTGTCTTAGATATGTAAATATATTATAATTAAATTATA